CTTTGTGCTGCTTTCATGACTGAAGCATTTTCAGGGAGATGAAGTTCTGGACTCTTTCCTCAAAGGGAACTGGAAGTACAATCCCTGGCCTGGGCCTTTGCTTCAGCTGTAACCTCCTCCTGGAGATTGAATGCCACTTACTCTGGGAAGCCTTCCATGATTGCCGAGAGCAGAGTCTGATGCTTCTCCTGTGTTCTTATGTCATTCTGCACACACTTCCTTTGTAGAACTCAAAATATCCTATTGTGCTAGTTTCTGTGTCTGTCTCTCCCACCGGAGCACAAGATCTTGTCCCCAGGGTTTACCCAAAATACTGCTGGCATTCAGTGAATTTCTGCTGAATGAAGCCTTTCAGATTTCAGAATTGTGGGAGATCTTGGGTCTCAAGAAAAAGTTCTGGCGTTTGGATTTTCCTGGGAAGGGCAAACCCTCTATGGTGTTGACGTGTAATCTATCTTCTGATGGAAATTCTGTCTGATGAGCCCAGCATTGAAATGTGAACCTCTCCTTCTTTGTAGCAGACCTGCTCCTGGAAAGTCCTAGGGCACAGGAATAGGACCTGGGCACCAAGTGTTTATAGACACCCAAGTGTGGAATCCAGCCCTTGGTTCACACCTTGTAGAAAGCAAGAGAACAGGCCTTGAACTATCAAAGTTGGTTATCTGCTGGAAGGCTCCTGGAGCCTTTTTTTCCTAAGAGTCGGGAATATGATGAGCCCTCACTGATGCTTGGGCTTTGCTGGCTCCAAATAAATGTGTCCTTGGCCTTTCTGGCACATAGGAGATGTCCCTTCCATTTGGAGGAAATCAGCCCCTTGATTTTGGTCCTGCATTCTGAATTCGTCAGGATGCGCCACTCTGAGCATTCCTGGTTTCATGCTGGAGCTGAACCTAAGGGCGGAGAAGGCTGATGGAGCACTGTACAACTGGGCTCAGGCAGGAACCACCCAAGGTCAGGCACTTGGCCAAGATCCTATCCCAAGAACCATCTATTCTGAACTTGGACTCTAGACTCACCACAGTCTCTGGCTGACCCTTGCAGCTGGCATTGCTGCCTCCAGGTTCAAAGTCTGGGGTGGGGGCTTCAAACGGGTCATGGCTAGGTATAGTATCCTTGCCCCAGCAGGGATGGAGGAGGGCGTGTGTCCATCCTATCCATCTGCCATGACTGGGGTTAGGGGGGAGGTGCTGCCTCTTCCTGCCTCTTGGGATTCCCACAAATGGGGGTTCAGATATTGGGTGTGTGACAAATATCAGCTTCCCCCACTCTATGAACTCCATATTCTCTTTGTGTGCTTTTCAGAAGGGCTCATCTCCTGGTCCCAGTTAGTCACTCAACAAATACTCATTTGAACCTACCTGTATGTACCAGGAAGGGCTCTTGGTGCTGGGAGATAGCGATGAACAAAGGAAACAGAGTTTACATTCCACTGGGGGAGAGACTGATGTACATAGAAAGTAAGGAATGTCTACTTAGAAAGAGAATTTCTGTAACCTATACCCCAAAACTCAGTGGCTTAAAATACTCATTTATGTAGCTCATGATTTCGTGGGTCAGGAATTTGGGAGAGGCTGGGCTGGGAGGTCCACCTCTGCTCCATGTAGCATTGGCTGAGGTGTCTGGTGCTGAAGAATCCACTTCTAAGTTGGTTTCTCTTTTGCCCACAATTTTGTAGTGAAAAATTTCAAATATACAGAAAAAAAGTTGAAAGAATTGTACAGCACACATTATACCGGCCACCTAGATTTTACACTTCACATTCTGCCATCTTTGCTTTATTACACATCTATCCTCTCTCCCCATCTCCAAGATGGCTTCCTCACTCCCAGGTCTGGTATCTGATGCTCCTTGGAGTCCCTTTCTCCCCATGTGGCTTGGGCTTCTCACAGCTCAGTGGTCTCAGGCTAGCCGCACTTCTTACATGGTAGCTGATTCCAGGCCAATTAAGTGTCATGCCTGAAATGGACATAGCATCTCTTCCACTGCACGCTACTGGTCAAAGCAGTCCTGGGGCAGAAGAGCTTGTGGGTTAGGCCATACTGCTGGAGCCATCTCTAGAAAAAGTAATTAGCTAGAAAGGATGATCAGGAAAGCCCTTTTAAAAAAGTTAGTATCTAGGCTGATCCTTGAGGGATGAGAACAAGCCTGTCTTGTAAAAAGCTGGGAGAAGAGAGCATTCCAGGCAAAGACACCAACAAAGGCAAAGGCTGGGAGGTGGAAAAGCGAGTCTTGTACCCCTACTTTCCTTTTCCCGTATCCAAATCCAGCCCATCATCTGGGACCCACATCAAGCTACCTCCCTCATGAAGCCTTCCCAGATACATCAGTCCCTGCTGATCCTTCCCCTCTTCCTAGAGCACTCATGCCTGGCGCGCTTTTCTGGCTGGAACAGGTTGGTTGGGTAGAGCAGTGGTTATGCACATAGTCTCTGTGAGGACTTGGGGAAATTGTTAACTTCTCCAACCCTATGTTTGTTCACGTGTAGATGAGAATAATAATACCTACTTTATAGGGTTGCTGGGGGAGAATATTAATATATGTGAAGTGCTGGGCACCTGGTGAATACTCAATGAATGTCAGCTACAATTAATAATTTCAAACTGGTTCATCCCGATGTGTTAAACTATTCAAAAATTTTTTTAGAGCAGACACCATGCCTTTTTCAACTTTTTCTCTTTCATCATGTAAGCAGTGTGTCTTGCATGGATGTTATGGATAGGAACAAGCACGCCACAGAGCTCTCCACTGTGCTGTGTTGTTAATGAAGCCATGCAGGGCACAGAGATGAGCAAGACTCAGCTGGATCCCTCCAGAAGCTTCCAGAGAGTGAGAAAGTAGCTGTGCTTGCAGCAGCCATGCTGGGGAATCTTTCACATTTGGATACAGATAGTAACAGGTTTCAAAGCACCTGCACATCTGTATTAGCTTGCTAGGGCTGCCTTAACACAATACCACAGACTGGGTGGCTTAAACAACAGATATTTTCTCACAGTTCTGGAGGCTAGGAATCAGAAATCAAGGCTGAGGGCTGTCGGGAAGAATCTGTGTCTCTCCCCCAGCTTCCAGTAGTTTGAGGGCAATCTTTGGCATTCCTTGGCTTGTAAAAGCACCACTCTGATCTTTGCTTTCATCTTCACATGGCCTTCTCCCTATGTGTGCATCTGTGCCCAAATCTTTCCCTTTAATAAGGACCCCAGTCATATTGGATAAGGGCCCATTCTAATAACCTCATTTTAATTTGATTGTCTCTGTAAAGACCCTGTCTCCATATATGATCACATTCCGAGGGACCAGGTTTAGTTCCCCAACATCATTAATTATCAGAAAAGTGCAAATCAAAACTACAATGAGGTACCACCTCACACCAGTCAGAATGGCTATCATTAAAAAGTCTATAAGTAACTAATGCTGGGGAGGGTGTAGAGAAAAGGGAACCCTCCTACACTGTTGGTGGGAATGTAAACTGGTGCAAGCACTATAGAAAACAGTGTGGAGGTTCTTCAAAGAACTGAAAATTGAGTTGCCATATGATCCAGCAAACCCACCTGGGCATAATACATCTTGAGAAAACTCTAATTCAAAAAGACACATGCACCCCAGTGTTCATAGCAGCACTATTTACAACAGCCAAGACATGGAAGCAACCTAAGTGTTCATCAACAGATGAATGGATAAAGAAGATGTGATACACACACACACACACACACACACACACCCTGGAATACTACTCAGCCATAAAAATGAAAGCCATACTACAGGCACAAAAAAGAATAATGCCATTTTTGCAGCAACGTGGATGGAACTAGAGATTATCATACAAAGTGAAGTAAGTCAGAAAGAGAAAGACAAATATCGTATGATATCACTTATGTGTGGAATCTAAAATATGACACAAATGATCTTATTTACAAAACAGATACAGACTCACAGACATAAAAAACAAACTTATAGTTACCAAAGGGAAAAGAGGGTGGAGGATGGGTTAATTAGGAGTTTTGGATTAGCAGATACTAATATATATCAGATATATAAAATAGATAAGCAACAGAGTCCTACTATATAGCACAGGGAACTATATTCAATATCCTATAATAAACCATAATGGAAAAGAATATGAAAAAAATACATATATCTGAATTTAAAAAAATTTGGACCAGGGCTGCAGTCATCTGAAGCCTCACTGGGGCTGGAGGATCCACTCCCAAGACTGCTCACACACGTGGCAGCCACGCTGGGAGTTGGTTGCTGACAAGAATCTCAGTTATTACTCATGCAAACCTCTCCCAGGGCTGCTTGAGTGTTCTCACGATATGGATCCCTCATGAGTGATCAAAAGAGAGCAAAGAGGAAGAACAATCTCTTTTATGTCTTAGTCTCATACATGATTTCCACAATATCCTATTGGCTGTATCAGTCAGCCCTATTCAGTGTGGGAAGGGACTACACAAGGGCATGGATCGCAGAGTCAAGAAACATCTGGATCCATAGTGGAGGCTGCTTACCACGTCCTACTAGATCTCCTTTCCCCTCATTACTTGCCCCACCCATACCCAGTCAGGAGCTCTTACTGTCATCCAAACATTTATCACATAGGATAATATGTTCAGACTGTAAGCCCCATGAGGGCAGAGACTGCATCTGTCTGGTTCAGCAACCAGCATAAGGCATAGAGTAGGTACTCGGTGAAAGTTTTCAACGAATACTGATAATTTTCTTCCGTCTGAATTACAACACTGCTTGTTTGTCTCCTCTCTGCATTATAGGCTCCTAGTTCAGGGCCTGATATAGAATTAAGGCTTCTATAAACGTATATAAACATTTGCTGAAATGGGCTGTGATAAAGGGGATTGGAGAATCCAGAAGGTCTGGATCTTGCTTCTGCCGGCCTCTCCCTTCTGCTCAAACCCACAGAATAGGGACAAAGGTCTGACAAAGCCAAGTGGCCAAGATCCACCAACCCTAGCAACGCGGGGCGGGCGGAGCTGAGCCCGCCGGTTACTAAGGAACGTCACTTCCGGGATCCAGGGTCGCGGGGAACCACTTCCGGGGGCGCGGCGCGGCGAAGCGGGAGGTGAGTGCGGTGCTGCCTGCTGCCGGGTCGGGTTTTCGGGGCGGGGCGGAGTCGCAGAGGCTGCGGGAACCGAAAAGGGGTTGCGCTCAGGCGCCGCGGCCCGGCTGTGACGGCGGCGCTGCTCTGCCCGCCCGGGTGGCGCTCGGCGAGCGGCTCAAATAACTTCCTGGGGCGCTCGTTCGGAAGTTAACTGCAGAGGGGAGTTTGAGTCTGAGGGAGGCGGAAGGCTTCTCTTGCTGCCGCACAGAGCTTTTGTTCGCAGCCGGGGCCAGAACCCGGTGCTTCTCACAGCTGTGACCTGGCTTTTCTTTCCACGGGCGGAGCGTTAGGAGGAGCCAGAGCTCCTGAGTCAGTCTCGCTGGGGTTCGACCCCCGAGTGTACCTGTATTGCTGTGTAACCGTGGGTGATCTCTGGTTGCCTCTTTGGTTCTGTTTCCTCCTCTGTAAAATGGGCCCATAGGCTTGTTCTAAGAATTAAATGAGATGGTGAATGCAAAGCGCTTAGTGAATGCACAGAGAGTGTTTGCTGAATTAGTTTCTTTTAAGACAAGTGGGAAACGAGTATGTGAAACCCCACACCTTTTAAGTGGTGGCAACAAACTCGGATTTAGTAATTATATTTTGCAGGACATCTGCCCACCAGTTTCAGCCCACTGGATGCCGGTTCTGACTGCTCTGGGAGATGGCTTACTTTTCCATAGGACAAAATTCTAACCCAGTTTTGAGCAGTTCTTGAGAATTTGTTATAATGGGATGGGTCTGGGTATGCAGTCCACGGCTATAAGACAGTAATTCCTGACACTGGTTTTCTATTTCGCAGTGTGTTTCAGTGGAATTCTCAGAACAGAATTTTAAAACCACTTCATTAGAAGCTAAGAATCCCCTACCAACATACTTAAAATCTGGGTTTTTCAGTCTTAGAGAATTTTAGTTTCTATTTGCTAAGTCTGGACAGCTATTCATGTCTCAGGGCTTATTTATTTATTTTGAAGTGTTGGGGTTTTTTTTCCCAGTAAACTTTTTACTTTAGAACAATTTTAGATTTACAAAATTCTTGTGAAGATACTGCAGTTCCCACATGCACCCCTCCAATTTCCCCTACTATTAACATCTTGCATTAGTATAGTACTTTTGTCACAATTAGTGAACCAACATTGGTAAGTTATGATTAACTAAACCCCATGCTTTATGCAGATTTGCTGAGTTTTCTCCTAGTGTTCTTTTTCTGTTCCAGGATCCCACATTACATTTAGTTAGTTGTGTCTCTTTAGGCTCCTAGGACTGTGATGATTTCTCAGACTTCCCTCGTTTTAGGGAAACTTGACAGTTTTTGAGTACCAGTCAGTTGTCTTGTAAAATGACCCTCAGTTGGGATTTGTCTGGTGTTTCCCTCATGACGAGATTGGAGTTATAGGTTTGGGGGAGGAAAACCCTAGAGGTAAAGTGCCATTCTCATCACATCACATCAGGAATATGTACTATCGGTGTAAGTTATCATAGTTGATGTTAACCCAGATAACTAGCTTGGGGTAGTCAAGCTTTTCCACTGTACAGTTACTCTCCTTCCCCCGCTTTTCCATATTGCGCTTGGAAGAAAGTCCTTATGCACAGCCCACGCTTAAGGAGTGTGGAATTATATTTCACGCTTAAAGGCAGATTATGTACATAAATAATTTGTAATTCTTCTCCGTGGGAAATTTGTCCACTTATTAAATCATTTATATCAGCGCCTTGGATATTTATTTTCATACCTTGAATTATAATCCACTACTATATTTTGTTGTGCAAATTGTTCTGACTTTGGCAGTTGGGCGCTCTTTGAAGTGGCTCCTGTATCCCTTTGATATTCCCCAATCAATGTGTGTGTGTTTTTTTTTTTTTAACACTTTCTTACTTTCTATTTCAGGCTCATCTTATATATTTCCTGCTTGGGGCGTAGAATTAACCATTTCTCCAAGGAGCCCTGGTTCCTTTTATTGGAGAATGATATTAGACACCAAGATCTGGGTGCTAGTTGTGCTCATTGCCACTGATATGCCCCCCCCCCATTTCTAGGCCCTCTCAGCACACAGCAAGAGATACGTGTGTACATCCTAACCTACTTATATGCTCACATATCTATAAATATTTATGTAGCCATTTGTATCTATATTGAGCTAAATATGAGTTCATATTTATGTCTGCAACTCATCCATTCCAAGTGGATCATTCCAGCCTTCTCTGGCTTATCTGTAACCTCCTACTCCAATTGTGACAAACCTTGCTCCCACCAAATACCATCCATTTACTTAATTGTTCAGTTCTGGTGTACATGTATAGTTTCAGAATTATTAACCTATATCCCATGTGGGAAAAACTTTATTAATTAGAGTAGACTGCATATGTACAGTTCCTTTTGCCATTAGTCTACAGACTCCACTCATTTCCAGAGTTGCGGAGGTCAGCACCTGATTTCCCCTACCCTTTCAGTGAAATTATTTAATCCATTTGTAATACATTTAGATTCAGAATATCACATTCTGCGTTCCATCCTGGATATCTAAATGATTTTTTAAAAATCATTTGCATACATTTAAGTTTACTCTTTGTGCTGTAAAGTTCTATGGATTTTAACAAATGCTTAATGTCTTATATTTACCATTACAGTATCGTACAGAAGAGTTTCACCTTCAGGTATTATTTTTAACTTCTTTCTTTCAGATTTCACCTCAGCAATCCTGTTGGCCCTCCAAAATATATCTATAACCTAAGAATTCACCACCTCCCCTGCTTCCTGCTGCAAGTGTGTCTTTTTGACTATTATAGTGGCCTCCTAACTGGTCTCCCTGCTTCCACTCTTGTCTGCAGTCTCTTCTCAACACAGCAGCTAGGGTGACCATTTACAAATGAGTCAGACCACGGCACTTCTTTGCTAAGAACCTTCCAGTGGCTCCCCTTTCACTCAGAGGAAAAGCCAAAGCCCTACTGGCTTTACAGGCTTGCTCACTCTACTCTTCTCCTTGATCCTAAAGTTCATTCCTGCCTCAGGAGCTTATCCCTGGCTGTTTCTCCCTCCTGGGTTACCTAACTGATACTGAAATGACTTGTTCTTTTACTTTCTTCTTGCCTCTGCTGAAGTGTCAACTTCTCAGAGGGGCCTTTCCCTGACCACCTGATATAAAATATCACCTTTTATCTCTCTCATTAGATTTTCTCATAGTATTCATACTTGACGCAACATTATATCTATATGTGTGTGTTTGCCTCCAATTGGATGAAAACTCCATGGCAGGAACTAGAGTGGTGCTTAGTAAGTGTGTCCAGTGAATGAGTATCTCAGACCACTGGTATAATACCTGCCGGAGTGGTCGTGAAGTGCATGAGATGCTGAGTGTAAAGTGCGGTGCACATCTGGCAAGTGATTCACTCACCCTTACTGCGACTACTCTGACAGTGGCGGGAGGGTGGGCAGAGCCTGTCACGGAGTCAGGGTTAAGTGCCTTCTAGCTGAGAACTGGAAGGATGAGTAGGATTCTTGTGACTTCTATAATCAGGAAAGGAAAGCCCAGAAATCCCAGCAGACAGGCTGGGAAGTAAAGCACAGGGTGCAGAGAAAATTAAATGGGAGTTGTAGAGCAGACACAAGATGTGTAGAGCGTTTTATGTTTTCCAGAACTTTATTACAACCACCCTCTGGTTATACCTGTTGTTCAATATGAGTATTTATAAATTAATTAAAGTTAAGTAAAATTGAAGTGAAAAATTCAGTTCCTTAGTAGCCTCACTTAAGTGCTCAATAGCCACGTGTGGCTGGTGGCCACCATATTGTAGAGCAAATATAGAAAATTTCCATCATTGCAGAAAGTTCTCTTGAGTAGCATTTCATTAGAATTTATAAAAGTCTTGTGAAGGGAGTAGATAGGGCATGGATTTTTCTTTTAAATTGTATTTATTTTTTCAGTAATATTCCCCCCGAAATGAAAGCTTATGACCCCTTCACTTTAACAGTAACTATTTACATGTTCTTATGGCCTGTTGACCTTTAGCCAATAAAATCACTGTTTATACATGGTTATAGTTACAGTGTTTATGTAATTGCTTTCTTTCTGTTGGCCTGATACACATTTGTATTTGCCATTTTAGTGAAGGGGGCATATGCCGTGCTATGTACCATCATGGCTTAACTGCTTTATTGTTGGACACTTAAGTTGCTTCCTGTTTTTCAGTATTATGAATAACATTGCCATGAGCTTTTTTGTACCCGAAGCCTTTTTCTTCTTTTGAATTGTTTCCTTACTGTAAATTCTAGGAAGTGAGTTCTTCAGTCAAAGGATATAATCACTTTTATGACTCTTGTTATATATTGCCTAATTGCCATTAATGGAAAGAAAGCTTAAAAGCATTATAGCTTTGGGTAGATATTGTTGTTTGGGTCAGGAGAACATCAAGTGGCCAAGGAATTGGCCCAAAGTATAGCTCATGGCTGAGGGAGGCAGGATTTGTGCTCGCCTCCCCTCACTCCCCATCCCTGACTCCTGGCCCCATGTTTTTATTGTACTGCGAGTATTCTTAACAATGTTGCTGTTGTAACAGTAATAAATCTAAGTATTGGTAAGTCCAGGAGGCTTGTCACAGTCTTAAATATGAAGCTTGGGCCAGGGGCATTTTTGAAAACATATATTAATGAGGTACAGCTGAAGAAATAAGAGAGCTTTTTCACACCTTGCTATTCACTTGGCATAAGGATATAGTGTCCTTTCGGGGCTGTATGTTTCCTCCAGTGAAGCTGTCGTTGCAGCCGCCTTGGAATTCACTTCAGGGCCAGTTTCTGAGCCTCCGTAAACGATCAGCCTGGGTTCTGAGCATCATACCTTGTATTTGACCAAAAATGGTCCTGCGCTTGAGGCCCCACCTGATTCACCACACTTGGATCCAGATCGTGTTGGGTTCTTTCCAGAAGTCAAATCCTTCCTGGGAGGATGAAGATCTGCCAGCCCTGAGGAGTTTAGAGGGGAAAAAAAAAGGGCCTCAGGCTTTGAAGGCCTTTCCCAGAGAAGACAGAAGTGGTGTGAAACAATGGCCATTGGGAAGGCACACGACCTTCCTAAGTGACCAGGTAGAAAGGGAGACAGTGCACATTTACATAAACCCTAGTTTGTTCACTTAGAAGGTCATCTTTGTTATCCTTTAGTCACTCCTCCATGTGGGAAAAATGTTGCAAATCAGTGAAGCCACGGAGCCAAGGTTGGGGAAGGTTTTAGGACAGTCTCTTTAGTCCAGAGCCATCCATAATATAATGCAGGCCACGTGTGTCATTTAAAAATTTCTAGTAGCCACGTTTAAAAGGTAAAAAGAAACATATAATTAGTTTTTTTGTGATAAAATATTCATAACATGAAATTTACCATTTAACCATTTTTAAGTGTACAATTCAGTGGTTCATGATGTGTATAACTATTGCCCCTGTATCCAGAACTTTTTCATCACGCCAGACTGAATCTCTGTACCCATTCATCAGTAACTCCCCATTTCCCCTCCTCCAGCCCCTGGTAACCTCTGTTCTAGTTTCTGTCTCTCTGAATTTGCCTGTTCTAGGTACTTCATATAAGTGGAATCATACAATATTTGTTCTTTCCTGTCTGTCTTACTTCACGTAGCATAATGTTTTTAAGGTTTATCTATGTAGTAGCACATATCAGAATTTCATTCATTTTAGTAGCTGAATAAATTTCCTTTGTATGTCTGTACCACTTGTTTATCCATTCATCTGTTGATAGATTCCTGATTGTTTCCATCTTCTGGCTATTGTGACTAGTGTGGCTGTAATCCAATATATCATTTCAACATGCAATCAAATAAAACATTGTTAATGAGTTATTTTAAATTCTTATGTTCATACTATTTTCTCAATTGAGTGTTGTACCTATCTTAACAGTGATCTTAATTTGGACTAGCTGTGTTTCAACTCTCAATAGCCACATGTGGCTCATGGCCACCATATTGGACAGCTCAGATTTAGCAGCAAATTGTCTTGTCACAGAGGTCCCTGAAAACACAAAGGGCTTTGGAATCAGGTGGGCTTGGTTCCAAAGTAAGTTTTCCCCTTTCTCATTGGGGTAGGCAGAAGGAAGCCACCCGTGGGTGCTCTGGAGAGCGGATCAGTCACACCAGGGTGGGAGGAGGGCAGTAAGAAAGGCATGCTGGGGAGGAGACACGAGCTTGGCCTTGGAGGTAGAGTGGGGGCTTTGCCAAGCAAAGTGGGAAAAGGCATTCTTGGCAGAGTGTGCAGCTTGGGTGGAGGCCCAGGATTGTGTAAGAGCCCCATGCTCTTGGAGAGCCACAGGCAGTTCTTTCAGCATGGCCGGGGGTTAGGAGAGGGGGGCCCTGGTGAAAGGAGAGGCTACGGGGTGGGCTGAGGCCAGACCTGCCACCTCTGGCCACCACTGCTGCTGTCACCCCTGTCCCCAGCATCTCTTATTTGGGTTACTGGTAGGAGCCTCCTCACTGGTCTCCCTTTGTCCACTCTGCACCCTCTCGGCGCCCCCGCCCCATTTAAAATGTAAATCAGATCATGTCACTTTTCTACTCAAAAATCCTTCTGTGGCTTTACATTTTACTCCATCAAATCGGGAGTGTCAGGGTCCTACAAGTTCAGCCCCCACTCCCCTCTGACCTTGCCCCCTTCCACTCTCCCTCCTGCACTCCTCTCTGGCCAGTTTGGACCTCACATCCCTGCCCTGGGGCCTCTATACTTGCTTTTCTGTCTGCCTGGAAGATACTTCCCTGAGATGTTCCACCGGCTCACTCTCACACATCGTCTCTCTGCCACCTTATTCCTGTCTCTTCTTCAGAGAGGCCCTTCTTGTCACCCTTCGTAAAATAAGATGATGCCCTTCTGAAGTTTTTTTCAAAACAGTTATTACTGTCTGGCATATCACATCTGGGTGCGCTATTTGTCTGCATCTGTCCTGAGATGTAGGCCCCAAGAAAGCAGGTATTTATCTGTTTTGCTCAGTCTTCAGTGCTTAGTGTTCAGTAAGTATTTGTTGAATGAATGACTGGATAATGAACGAATAAACAAAACCTGTAACAGAGCAGGCCTTCAATAAATACATTCTTCCTGTTCTATGTCATCAACAGGCACATGTTGATTTGCGATTTTTGTTGAAGTGTTCGCATTTATTTATTTTTCGTAAGTTTATATTTATATTTGAAAAAATTTCAAATGTACAAAAAAGTTGAAAAAATTGTCCAATTTGACCTCCGTGTATCCTCCACTTAGAATTGTTAACATTTCACTACAGTTGCTTTATATATTCTTGCACGTAGGTGAGTGTATTTGTGTAAGTGGAACCATGTAAATAAATGTCAGATGTAGAAACTTGACATTAACTCTTTGTTTAGAAATTGGCTCTGGAGAGTGGTGAGTCGGAGGAGACCTCAGGCAGCAGGCAGCTGGGGCCATGGCCTCCGACCTGGACTTCTCTCCTCCCGAGGTGCCGGAGCCCACATTCCTGGAGAACCTGCTACGGTATGGACTCTTCCTGGGGGCCATCTTCCAGCTCATCTGTGTGCTGGCCATCATCATCCCTGTTCCCAAGTCCCACGAGGCGGTGAGTCCTTCCCTGTGAGCCTCAGCTCCTCAGGCGGGGTTCTAGGTGCTAAAAATAGATGTCACAGCAGTGAAGACCAGCAGGGACTATGCTGGGCTTTACTGATTGAATGCATCCCCAGATTCCCACCTGGGGCACTGGCCCACATGGTTAGTACCTTCTCTGTTCACATATGCGTTAAGCAGATTTTTATTTAGTGCCTACATTGTATACTAATGTCAGACTGCTGAAAGATGTGGTGTCTGCCCTCAAGGAGCTTCTAGTCTTTCGGGGAAGGGCAGATATGAAACAAATACTGACACATGTTTCCGTGAGGAGGCAGGGTACTGTGAGGGTGTAAAACAAGGAGGAGGACCTGATGTTATACCGGAACAGGGGCTGTGCTCTTCTCCCTCCCCGGGAACCCGAGGAATGAAGGAAAGGGCTAGGAACTGAATGCAGGTGACTGTGGCCAGAGCACAGAGGGGACATGAGAGGTGCAGCCAGAGGAGTGGGTGGGGCCCAAAGGGTTTTAAGGAAGAGGGTGACATGATCATATAGGCTTTCTTGTTTTGACTCTTGTTCTATACGTCTTTTTATTCTATAGCTATGCACCCGCATTCCTCCACCCCATCTCCCCTTATCTCATGACATTTATTTGTTTAGGAAAGCAGATCGTTACCATCTACAGTATCCACATCCAGGATTTGGCTGATTGCTTCTCTGTGGTGTTATCTGACATGTTCCCTTGTTCCCCATATTTCTTATTGATAGGAAATTCGATCTAGAGGCTTGATTCAGTGCAGATCAGGTTATTTGGTGAGAACCCCTGTGGCTAGTGCTGTGTACTTCCTGTTCTGTGTCATCAACAGGCACGTGGTGTCTGGTTGTCACACAGAGATTCTAATATATTAGTTGGTAATGGTTTCTCCCTCTGTTATAAAATCTCCATCAGTCTTTGATCTGAATGGTCTTAGCATCCATTGATCATTGCTAGATCCATTATTTCCTTCTGCATTTATGAGCTGGAATTCTTCAGTGAAGGAGACCTTTTTCCTCATCGCCTATATGGTTACTCTCAAATGCTATTCATAGTGAAAGGCAGGTAAGCGCTTGATGCTTTTCCTTTATTAGTTTTCAGAGTAGTGAGTTTGGGCTCTAGCAACCTCCAATCTTGACCAATAAAGCTTTGATTTTCATATCATTTTAAACATAAATTTTTTTATATTTGATGTTTTAATTTGATTTTTTTAATGCTCACATGGTCTCTAGTGGGAGCCGCATCAAGTCGTGTGAAATATTGTCTACCAGGGAAACCATTAGAAACTCATTGCCTGGGTTTTTTTTTGCGGAGAGGCCACATAAGCACCCTCTGCCTAGTATGGACCAAAATTCCAGACTTCCAGAAAGAAAGCAGGTATTCAGATTAAACCATATTGTTTGCACAGACAGGTTAGGCACAGTGAGCTGTTCTTATCAGTTCTGGGAATTACGGGAACCACCCAAATCCAGTTTCCCAGATGCCAGCCAAGGGCCAACCTTGCAAGCTGGCTTTTCTAAGGATAGCAGTTGTTTTTAATGTTAACTCTATTTTGCACACTGCCAATATACTTATTATAGTTTTCAAATAACTATATTGTTTTTCTCTGCTAACAATAAGACTCAGAATGAAATTCAAGATTTCTTTGTGGTTCTTTTGGGACCCCAAAATAGGTCCCAGTTGGGAACGTATAGTCAGAATATTGTGTTCAGTAAGCCTTTTCTTCATGTAGGTATACTCCCACCATGACATATATTAATTTGCTTCAATTTGTTTGTAATTTTTAGATATTTTTTCTTTTGATTTAATTTAAAAATTATATAAAACTTCTATATATACATTTCCCAAAGTCAAAACTGTATAACAATGGGGGAGAGGGTGTAGCTCAAGTGGTAGAGCGCTTGCTTGCATGCATGAGGTCCTGGATTCAATCCCCAGTACCTCCTCTGAAGATAAATAAACCTAGTTACCTCCCCCCCTTGTTATACCAAAATTTAAAAAAAAATTAAATAATAAATAAAAAAAATAAAAGCTATAAAAAAATACTCTATAACAAGATAGTCACAGAAGTTTCCTTTAATCTCAGTATCTTCCACCCTTTCCCCTTCTTCCCTCCATATGCAACCGTTTTTATTTTCATTTATCCCTCCTTTGTTTCTTTTTGAAAATATGCACAAATGGATATGTGTGTGATATTTATTTATTCATTTATATTCTCCCTTTGATACATAAAAGATAGTATCCTAGTAAACACAGTTTCACTTTATTTTTTCCACTTAACAATATACAGTATATTCTGGAGATACGTATCTTGGAGATGATTGTGTCCCAGAGATCCTGCTGGTGTAACTGGGAAGAACCCTGGCAAAAGGGCAAGCTTGGGTTGGGGACACGAAGGAGCATCCTGGGTTCAGTTTTAAACAGGTGTCTGTAAGATGTCCAGGTGGTTCTGTCTGTTATGTAAGCAGCTGGATCTATAGGTCTGTATCAGGAGGAGTTGATCAACATTTGAGAGTCAATGAGATGTAATTGAAGCCACGAGAGGGGATGTGGTCTCTTAAGGATGGAATATGGAGTGAGGTGAGGAGTAGGCCTTGGGGGGAGCCTTGAGGAGCTCTAGCATGCAGGGAACTGGCGGGTTGGAGCAGCCAGCGAAGGTGGGGAAAACCTTGGTGAACGTGGACAGGCATGTGGCCTCTGGATTGTTTTGGCCATCTCTGTTACTTGTTCTGGTATTTTCAGAAGGAGGTCATAATTGGAATTTTTCTGCCCACAGTTGTATCATACTCTAAAAAGATAATCCCTGTGCTCTGTGGCTCTGTCCTTACAGACACGGCACAGCATTGGGTATTAAAAATAACAAACATTTTTATTGTCGTTGGCCACTGATGAAGCCTGCTAAGAGTCCTTAGGGAGGGAGGTGATGAATGTTCTTGTTTTACAGACGGAGATGTAGAGTCAGAGTTGTGTGGCCTTTTGGAGAGCTGTCGCTCAGCTCCTGTTGTGTTCTTAATCCTTCGAGGCTAGCTGTAGAGGCCCAGATCCATTTAGGGAACTTTCAGAAAAAGGGGTGTCCTTTATTGAGCTCAGGTTTTTAGTGGCACCTTGGGTTGAGGCCTTTTGAGGCAGGGAACTGACAAAGGGCTAATCAGTATGCCTCCCCACCACCCCTCAACTCACCCTGCATTTAGACATTTAGAGGTTAATTTGAGATAACAACTTCATATTTATTTTTTGTTATTTTATTATTTTTTTGAAGTATAGTTGATGTACAATATTATATGTTATAGGGGTACAACATAGTGACTCGCAGTTTTTAAAGGTTATACTCCATTTATAGTTACTATAAAATATTGGCTATAGTCTCTGTGTTGTGCAATATATCCTTGTAGCTTTTTTTATTTTACACATAATAGTTTGTACCTCTTAATCCCCTACCCATATCTTGCCCTTGTCTGCTTCCCTCTCCCCACTGGTAACCACTAGTTTGTCCTCTATATCTGTGAGTATTTTTCTTTCTGGTTATATTCACTAGTTTGTTTTATTTTTTAGATTCCACAAATAAGTGTATCATACGGTATTTGTCTTTCTGTCTGACTTATTTCACTTAGCATAATATCCTCCAAGTCCACCCATGTTGTTGCAAATGGCAACAGTTCATTCTTTTTTATGGCCGAGTAATATTCTATTGTATGTGTATATACCACATCTTTATCCATTCATCTATTGATGGACACTGAGGTTGCTTCCATATCTTGGCAATTGTAAATAATGCTGCTATGAACATTGGGGTTCATGTATCTTTTCAAATTAGTGTTTTTGGTTTTTTTGGATATATACCCAGGAGTGGAATTGCTGGGTCATATGGTAGTTCTGTTTTTAGTGTTTTGAGAAAACTCCATACTGTTTTCCACAGTGGCTGCACCAGTTTACATTCCCACCAACAGTATACGAGGGTTTTCTTTTCTCCACATCCTTGCCAGCATTTGTTATTTGTGTTCTTTTGATGATAGCCATTCTGACAGATGTGAGGTGATAGCTCCTGGTTTTTATTTGCATTTCTCTGATAATTAGCAATGTTGAGCATATTTTCATGTGCCTATTGGCCATCTGCAAGTCCTCTTTGGAAAAATGTGTATTCAGGTCTTCTGCCCATTTTTAAATCGAGTTATTTGTTTTTTTGATGTTGAGTTGAATGAGCTGCTTATGTATGTTGGATACTAACCCCTTATCAGGCATATCATTTGCAAATATTTCTCCCATCCAGTAGGTTGTCTTTTCATTTTGATGGTTTTCTTTACTATGCAAAAGCTTTTAAGTTTAATTAGATCCTGTTTGTTTATTTTTGCTTTTATTTCCTTTGCTTTAGGAGATATCCAAAAAAATATTGCTACAATTTATGTCAAAGAGTGTTCTGCCTATGTTTTCCTCTAGGAGTTTTATGATTTCCGGTGTTGCATGTAGGCCTTTAATTCATTTTGAGTTAATTTTTGTATATGGGGTTAGAGAATGTTCTAGTTTCATTCTTTTACATGTAGCTGTCCAGTTTCCCCTGCACCATTTATTGAAAAGATTGTCTTTCCTCCATTATATATCCTTGCCTCTTTTGTTGTAAATTAATTGACCATAAGAGTATGGGTTTATATCTGGGTTCTATTCTGTTCCATTGATCTATATGTCTGTTTTGTGCCATTACCATATTGTTTTGATTCTTGCATCTTTGTAGTATAGTCAGAAGCCAGGGAGTGTGATTCCTCCAGCTCTGTTCTTTTTGCTCAAGATTGCTTTGGCTATTTGGGTCATTTATGTTTCCATACACATTTTAAAATTATTTATTCTAGTTCTGTGAAAATTGCCCTTGGTAAGGGGGAGGGTATAGCTCAAGTGGTAGAGCACATGCCTAGCATGCCTGAGATCCTGGATTCAATCCCCAGTGCCTCTGCTGAAAAATCAAATAAATAAAGAAGCCTAATTACCTACC